GACTTGAAGAGAAACTTCTCTGAAGAAGACAGGTTAATGGCCTACAGACATATGAAAACATGCTCATCATCCTTAATCATCAGAGAAATGCAAATCAAAACTACTTTGAGATATCATCTAATTCCAGTGAGATTAGCCCACATCACAAAATCCCAAAACCAAAGATGTTGACGTAGATGTGCTAAAAAGGGAACAGTTGTACACTGCTGGTGGGAATGCAAACTAATACATTCCTTTTGGAAAGATGTTTGGAGAACATTTAGAGAATTAAAAATAGACCTGCCATTTGATCCTACAATTCCTCTACTAGGTATATATCCAGAAGACCAAAAATCACTTTATAACAAAGATATTTGTACCAGAATGTTTATTGCAGCCCAATTCATAATTGCTAAGCCATGGAAGAAGCCCAAGTGACCATCGACCCATGAATGGATCAATAAATTGCGGTATATGTACACCATGGAATGTTATGCAGCCTTAAAGAAAGATGGAGACTTTACCTCTTACATGTTTACATGGATGGAGCTGGAATATTCTTCTTAGCAAAGTACCTCAAGAATGGAAGAAAAAGTGTTCAATGTACTCAGTCTTACTGTGAAACCAATTTATGAAAGCTATAACCCAATTATAGACCAGAGGAAAGGGGAGAGAGAGGGGAGGGGAAATGGGAGGATAGGTGGAGGGAGAGTAATTGGTGGGACCACACCTACTGTGTGCATCTTACAAGGGTACATGTGAAATTTGCTAGGTGTAGAATATAAATGTCTTAACACAATAACTAAGAAAATGCTGTGAAGGCTATGTTAACCAGTTTGATGATAATATTTCAGATTGTACATAAAACCAGCACATTGTACCTCATGATTGCATTAATGTGCACAGCTATGATTTAATTAAAAAATATTAATTCCCCTCCTATTCTTCCCCTGCAGGAGAACTTTCCTTAGGAAACTGAATGAGCAAACCATTCAGGTTGGTGGAGGGAACAAGCAGCAGGTTTAATTGTACATATACCTGTCCCCTTCTCCAGACTGAAAGTTCTTTGGGGCTATAGTATCAAATTTGTTTCTTTACCCCCAAAGGGTAGCTCTTCATAGGTACTTGCCCACGTTTGAAGAAACAGAAAAAAATAAGGAAGGAAGAGAAGAAAAAGGGGGGAAGTTTGGGTGAGTCTCAGCTCCATCTGAGTGAGTTTCCTTCCCTTTGGCCTCCACATCCTTCTTAAAGGTCATTGAAAAATACTCTTTCCATTTGAAAAAAGACAATGAGACTGGAGTAGCCAGTGAGTCCCTGTATTCCTCCCTTCAAAGTTCTGAGTCTGATAAATTGAATTGGCCTTTGTTTTTTATTTTAACATTCTTCCTTTAACTCTATTGTTATCCATCCTCCCGGGGTAGAGAGCCCCCCAGAACAAAGGGTCATCAGCACCTTAATGGGCAATGCAGATTCAAATGCTTACGCTGGATTCTGCACATTCGGGTCCATCACTGGCACATTCTAGGCCAGAAATTTACTTAGTCTTTGGCAGTGCCAATCACGATCTACCCAATGAGGCTTTTTTTTTTTTTTAAGTTGCCTGTTTATATAACTTCCTCTTTAATTTTCATCTTAGGCGTTTCTAGAGGAGAGATTGATGTCGCAGGGCCTCATGCCAGATGTTGTTTTGAAATTGATGTAACCATGGCTTTGCTAGAGGCTGAGGAGTCCGCCTGGGCCAACTGAGTCATACCTGGGCGTAGGGCTGCTCTGGTATGGGGAAGCTGGGCAGGAGGCAGCCCAGGACAGGGACTAGGGTGTCCCTGTAAGAATGACAAGTACGTGTGCATCTGTTGGTGTGTGTTATTGAGAATTCTGAGATGCCTCCAGAAAGGATATAGGGACCAGCAGTCCCTTTTTCTTTTTCTTTCTTTTTTTTTTTTAGACATAGTCTCACTCTGTCACGCTGGGAAGAGGACAGTACATCACAGTTCACAATAACCTCAGACTCCTGGGCTCAAGTGATCCTCTTGCCTCAGCCTCCAGAGTAGCTGGGATTATAGGCACCCACAAAAACACCAGCTAAGAATCACAAAGAGACGCAAAGGGGAAGTATGTCCTTGCCCCTCGCAGGCCCCACCTAGCCCACTCCCACCTTGACCACGCCCACTCCCGCCCTTTGGCCCAGCCTCCCTAGCCATTGGCCACTCCCACTCCCGGCCCTTGGCCAGGCCTGCCCATTGCTCAGGACCGATCTCCAGATGCCTGTGTCACTAACCCCAGTGTAAGCTCTTGGAATTCTCCTCTGACTCTTTCTTACCCGCTTCCCTTCACCTAGAATTCTCTCCCATCCGCCCCTGCTTGGTAAAATCATGTACCCTTACGGGAATAAACTCACCTACTTCCTGGTCATTTTTCCATCCCTACTGTTTCCTGCCTAGGATGCTGGCGGTACATCCTTTCCCCCAAATCACTCGAGCCAAACCCTGCAGTTGAAGCTGGCTCCTCTCACTGTGACATTCTGCATCTTTTTTTCAACAAATTCTGCTGGATTACCTAGAAAAGAATACCCCACATGGGCCATTCTCAGCTCTCTACTACTGCCAGCTCAGCCCAAGCCACGACATCTGGCTAGGTGACTGCCAGTGCGCCCTTGGCTGGTCCGCCCACACTCCAGTCTCCACTCAGCTGTCAGAGGGCTCCTTCTAAAACGTAGATGTGGTCATGTAACTCCCTTGCTCAAAAGCCTCCAATGGCTTCCTAGCCTTCTTGGAACAAAATTCCAGGACCTTGCCTTAGTCCTGGCTCTGGCCCATGGCTGCCACCTAGACTTAGAGGATGGCCTCCACCATCCTCTCGTCCTCTTCCCTGGAGTACTGGTCTCCCTGCCACCTCTCAAACACACTGTTTTCTTCACACGTCTTTTGCACATGCTGTTCCCCCTGCCTGGAACGTTTCTGCCCCCATGGTCACATGACTCCTTCCTCCAGTTCATTCAGACCTTTGTCAAATGTCACATCTTTAGAGAAGCTTCCAAATCACCTTTTCAAAAAGGGCAGTAACCCCCCCACCTCTTTTTGTCCCCTAGTACTGCTTAATGTCTCTTCATAGCTCTTTCATCTTATGTCATATATCAAGCTGTTAATATCTCTATCCCACAACCAGAATCACAGCTGCATAAGGTCAGGGGCAGAGTCTGCTCTGCTCACTCACCATGCCTGCCACAGACAGGTGGGTCATAAATATTTGCTGAATGCAGGAAGGGAAGATACTACTCCCAAATATGTGCTCCCTTCTTCCTTAGAGCCTCTTACAGCCATTCTTCACCCCTCTTGGAGGATATTTCTTGCTCTAATTTCTTTTAGGACAGGGACTGAATGGCACACAGTCTCTGGCACACAATAGGCACTCAAGAAATGCTGATGCAATTAAATAGAAGTAAGTGAATAACCAATTCCAGATTATTATCTGCTGGGCTCATGAAATAATTTTTGAATTTCATTTATCTGAGCTGTAATCTAGATAAGTTCATATTGTATGGCTCGGCGCCTATAGCTCAACTGGCTAAGGCGCCAGCCACGTACACCTAAGGTGGCGGGTTCGAATCCCCAGCCCGGACCCGCCAAACAACAATGATGGCTGCAACCAAAAAATAGCGGGGCGTTGTGGCGGGCGCCTGTGGTCCCAGCTACTTGGGAGGCGGAGGCAGGAGACTCGCTTGAGCCCAGGAGTTGGAGGTTGCTGTGAGCTGTAATGCCACAGCACTCTACCCAGGGGGACAGCTTGAGGCTCTGTCTCAAAAAAAAAAAAAAAAATAAAAAAAAAAAAAAAAAAAAATAAATAAATAAATAAATAAATAAATTTATTTGACTATCAGTTGATGGCTGTATATTTTTCACATTATTCATGGCAGAGCGGGAGCCTAGCCAGCCTCCCACAAACCCATCAGGCTGCTGGCTTCTCCTTCTACTCTTTCAGTTGAACTCAGCACATATCAATAGAAGTCACATCATGGGTGACAGAGTAGCCTGGACTGGATGGGGCCCTTAAGAATACTGTTTGTGTATGGAGCTATCAATAGGGGGCCTGATCCCCTAACATACTATACAACATTATATCATAATATTTGTTAAGTAAGTGTTAACTAGTGGTTTTCCTCCTGAAAGAGACAAGTTGTACAGAGGTATTAGACCCCTTGCAAAGGTGCTGAGGTGCCTTCCCTGTGGCTTGGCAGTAGGCTGTGGAAGAAAAGCCTCAAGGCTGGCCCATCACTGAGTGAGCAGTCCAACTCCAAGGCTCAGCACCATTTGGACTCAAGAAATCCCAAATTTGATAGGAAATTAGTTTGAGAGGAAAATCCTTTAATCAGCCTAGGTCTCATGGTACCCTGCAATATCCCTCTCAGTATGATGACAAAAAATGAAATATGCTATAACAAAAAAGAAAACATTCTGAATTTGGGTAAGGTTCCTAAATACTACCTCAGTCCCCCCACACACTCATGTGTGGCTGCACTTATCACCTTTAGCATCCACACCTATGATGACACTAACAAAGGACGCCTGCAATATGTTCATAGTCAGCATTTAGGGAGCAACCTCCCTCATCCTATTACTCCTTACCCTGCTTGCCATAGGCCTTCTCCTCTGTCCAGGCCCAATAAGTCTACAAGGCAGGTGTGATTTAACTTGCTTATTACAATGCCCAACAGTGCCTTTCTAAAGATGAGAACTTCCCAGAGACTACTGCATCTGACATTTTCCATTAGGGATCAACGTTCAGTTTACCTTAACTGACATGGTACCTCCCTGAATCTCTCAAGCAAAAGTGTTAACCGAATCTGATTCAGTACTATTCTTATTGTTACAGTTGCAGTGGGCTCTTCTTCAGCTTCTTCCTTGCTCTTATTCAGAATTATGACTCTGTAGCTTCCTGACATTTAAGTAAATGGATTCAGACATTAATTCACAGCACCAGCAAGCAGCTGCACGTTCTTTCAGCCCCACAGATCCTGGGCATACCTTCATGAAGAAGAGCTTCCTACAGTTCTTGCCTCGATCACTCCCAGCTGCTTGAGGTTGAGCAGCCTCAGAAAACAGTGCTAGGTCAGGAATGCTGCTGGGCCCAGCCTCCGACGTGTCTGCCAGCTGCACAGATGAGTGGAAAATTCCCTCCTTGCCCTGGGCCAGGGAAATCTCAAAGGGATCAGGATATTTCTCATCAGGGCTAGAGCCATCATCACTGGTCCTAGCATTACAGAGCATCAGGGACCGAGAGATGGACCGGAATTTTGCAGATTTTCTGCTCTTTCCAGAGCGGCTGTGTGACTCCATCCTCAGCGAGGAAGTGAAGCTGCCTCTCTTCCTCTCCTGGTCTCTGGCCCTTGGCTGACGGGTGGCAACTGGAATGGGCTTAGCAGCCACTTCATGAGTCCCTGGAGGAAAAAGGAAATGGGGAGAAGCAATGTGACTTGGTGCTCACAAGTGGAGCTGGACATGAGTCCTGGATCTGAGCCATGGGTGCCCGGTGCTCATGAAGCAGGATAGATGGACAGGTCATTGTTCCAGGTCACTGGCCCTCCAAGTTTGCCAGCCATATGGGGCTCAGTTAACCCAAATGGTTAATACTCACTCCACTCCCAGGATTCTGGAAACCTAGTCCCAGAGCTTCTCTTGTCCAAACTCTCATTCTGCAGACACGGAAACTGAAGTGCAGAGAGGGGAGTATAAACTCAAGGTGCTGGCTGAGGAGCCAGTAATCAGAGTCACAAGAGTAAGTTTAAGGATCAGAGGGACCAATGTTTTGTGAGGTTTTTAGAGCTGGAAGCCATTCTTCAAACAAAAGTTTGCAGGGAGGTTCAGCCTGTAACAGAAAAGCTAAGCTCCACCTGTCTGGGCCCTGTCCCACCTTGGGTAACTGCCACAGCATCTCCAGAGGAACCCCAGTACCCACAGTGCTCAGGCTGAACGCCTCTGACATCCATCTGTGTTCTGCATTTGCAGATGATAAGCCTGCGAGTGGGAAAGTTGGGAGTCTCTCCTAACATCGATCTGCCAGAGACCGTGTGAACCTAAAACAAGGTGAAGCTTGGCAAGTGCCTGCTCCAGGGCTGAGCACATGATAGGCTCTTCGCAAATGTGTGTGCCAAGGTTAACCCTGGCCAGAATCATAGCCAGCCTAGGGGCTCCTGCTCTATAACCTGTTGTCACTGGATCAAACCCTCACAGCCCAAGGGACCAAAAGGCTGGGTTTCCCACAGCATCACTCTCAGCCTGGCTCAGCTCCACCAAGAGGCGCCTCCATGGATTCAGTTTCCACAAGGCAGGTGGCGAAAAGGGGCCCTGATGCTGGATCCAAAGAAGTTCTGAGATGGGCCCAAGCCACAAAACAAAACCTGCTGCCAGAATAGCAAACTGTGGCCACTCTTGGCCACTGGAGCTGCTGCTTGTGCACATCCAGTCCTGAATAAGGACAAGCAGAGACCTTCCAAAATCATATTACATTGAAACCCTTTCACACATCCCTCCAAAAAAGAGTGTCTTATTAAAAGAACATTATCTTTCTAACACTCAAACTGTACAAATTTATTACTTTCTGTATTGGCCCTTTAGTTTCATCAATTTATTCACCAATGTCTACAGCAACAAATAGCAATGAGTGAACTAAAATCAACGAACATTTGAAGCCTACAATATACCAGGCGCTATGCTTGATGTTTTAGTGTAAATTAGCTCAGTATTGGTCCATTTCATCAAACATCTCAAATGGTAGTAAAACCCCAACCACAAATGAATCAAACCCTCTAGAGAGTTCCACACCTGGATGTGAGCCTCCAAACCCTGAGGAGACACTTTCAATCCAGCCACCAACTTGGCCTCCTGCTCTGCACAAGGTAGAGATGCTGTTACATAATTAACTTGATCACAGACTGCTAAAAATGTCTACTTCAAAGTTTCACTCTTATGTGTTGGGTACTGTCCTAATTGCTTTACTATCTGGTTCTCACAAACTCTATCATAGGCTCCATCAGTACCCTTGTTTTACAGAATAGATGACTGAGGTACAGAGAGGTTGAGTGACTTTCTCAAGATCACACAGCTAGAAGGCAGTGAACACAAGCACACCATGCAGTCTGACCCCTCCACATTGTCATTGACTGTCCCCTCTCTCTCTCACTTTGAACCTCAGTCTCGTCCTCTGTTCTAGATCTTTCCCTCAGCATGTAGAAACACTTAAACCTTTTCTGTCTTTCAAAAGCTGTCTGTTGGCTCCATGTCCTACCCTTGTCACCTGCCTTTCTTTTGTCCCTTTCACATCTTCTCCAGCAAATGCCCTGCACTCCACACTTCTCTCCTCATGTTGACCTACTCTTTGAGCGTCAGCCCAGACTCTGAATCCATCCCTAAAGCCACCGAGACTCTGTTTTATCATTTCTGCCTTTTATGTGCCCCAAAGCTGTGAACCTAAACCTCAGAGGATATTACCAGCTTGGTTAAAACCTGACGCATTTTGAGAGAATTTGTTAACCAGTATATCACTGGTTAAATCAATTGGTCAAAGAAAACATAAGAGTTCAAGTTTTTACAGTGTTTTTTTTTCTCTTACTACTGTCTTTACTTCCAGATGTCACCTTTCTAATATAAATTAGAACTTCTCTCCCTCTGCTGTGAGCTGTCACACCACGGCACTCTACCCAGGGCAACTTAAAAAACATAAAAGTTAGCTGGGCATGGTGTCATGTACCTGTAGCCCCAAGTACTTGGGAAGCTCAGGAAGCAAGATCACTTGAACCCAGGAGTTTGAGATTGCAATGAGCCATGTCACCACTACACTCTAGCCCGGGCTACAGACCTGACTCAAAAAAGAAGAAAAAAATAAAAACAATTCTAAAACTTATATGGCACCAAAGTAGCCCAGATAGCCCAAACAGCCCTACACAAAAAGAACAAATCTGAAGGCATCACATTACCCAACTTTAAATTATACTACAAGGCTGTAGTAACCAAAACAGCAATGGTAATGGAGTAGTACTTTTATAATAGACACACAGATCAATAGGACAGAATAAAAATTTTAGAAATAAAACCATGTACCTACAACCAGTTGACCTTCAAAAGAATAGATAATAACATACACTGGAGAAAGGATAGCATAGTCACTAAATGGTACTGGGAAAATTGGATAACCACAGAAGCATGAAACTGGATCCATATATCTCACCATATACAAAATTTAATCCAAGATGGAGTAAAGACTTAAATGTAAGACTGGAAAGCATAAAAATCCTAGGAGACCTAGGAAAAACTCTTCTGGACATGGGTCTAAGCAAATAATTTATGACTAAGACCACAAAAGCAAGTGCAAAAAAAGCAAAATTAGACAAATGGGACTTAATTAAACTAAAAAGCTTCTGCACAGTGAAAGAGTAAATAATTAACCTATAGAATGGGAGAAAAAATTTGCAAACAACAAAAGACTAATACTCCAAATCTACAAGGAACTCAAACAACTCAGCAAAAAAACAAACAAACAAACAAACAATCCCATTAAAAAATGGGCGTTTTTCAAAAGAAGATATATGACCAACAAACATGAAAAAAAAGTTTCCATAGCACTAATCATCAGAGAAGTGCAAATTAAAACCATAATGAGATACCATCTCACTCCACCTAGAATGGCCATTACTAAGAAGTCAAAAAAGAAGCTGTTTCATGGCTGTACCATGGTGGCTCATGCCTGTAATCCCAGCACTTTGCAAGGCTGAGATAGGAGGATCACTTAAGGCCAGAAGTTCAGGACCAACATAGGCAAAACAGTAAGACCCCTATCTGTATAAATAAATAAATAAATAAAGTGTCATAAAGCAATAGATGTTCACATAGATGCAGTGAAAAAGGAATACTGCTGGTGAGAACGTAAATTAGTACAGCCTCCATGGTGATCAATATGGAGATGTCTCAAAGAACTAAAAGTAGATCCACCGTTTGATCCTACTATCTACCCAAGGGAAAAGGAGTCATTATATCAAGAAAACCTGCATTTGTATGTTTGTCACAGCACAGTTCACAATAGCAAAGACAAGGAGTCAACCTAAATGTCCAGCAAGTAACCGGTAAAGAAAACTTCTCATACACACACAGCAGGAAGTACTATAAAGCCATAAGAAATAATGTCTTTTGCAGCAACTTGGATGGAACTAGAGGCCATTCTCTCAAGCAAAATAACACAGAAACAGAAAAACAAAGGCTGCATGTTTTCACTTATAAGTGGGAACTAAGCTATGGCTATACAAGGATAACCAGGGCACTATGATCAACACTGGAAACCAAAAACCAGGGAGGGTGGGAGGTGGTGAGAGGTGAAAAATTTCCTATGAGATACAATGAACACCTTTTGGGTGATGGGTATAAAAGCCTAGACTTCATCACTATACAATATATACATGTAATGGAATTCAATTTGTACCCCTAAATCTATTAAAAGAAAAAAAAAGACCTAACATTGCAGGGTAGAGTGATGGCACTGAAGCTTCCGTCTGGTGTTTAATTAAACTATAACATGGTAAAAGAAACTAAGCATCTGTAAAATTATAAGTTTAAAAAAAACGGGCTGGGTGAGGTGGCTCAGGCCTGAAATCCTAGTGCTCTGGGAGGTCCAGGTGGGAGGATCACTTGCTATCAGGAGTTTAAGACCAGCTTGAGCAAGAGTGAGAGTGAGACCCTGTCTTTACTAAAAATATAAAAAATTAGACAGGCGTTGTGGTGGGCACCTTTAGTCTCATCTACTTGGGAGACTGAGGCAGAAGGGTCCTTTAAGCCCAGAAGTTTGAGGTTGCTGCGAGGTCAGCTGAGGCTATGGCACCCTAGCCCAGGAGACAGAGTGAGATTGTCTTAAAAAAAAAAAAAAGGCCTTCTGTATCTTTGCTGGTGCTAAAGAGGTAAAATATACATTTGGAATTGCTGAAGTCCACCATGTTTTACTCTACAGGGCTGCCGAAGAGGGTAAATCAATATAGACAGTGCAGGACTCAAAAAGGGAAAAGAGAGGAAGAGAAAGAAGAAAAGGAGGCCAGAGAGAAAACGAGAAAAAAAAATGAATCCTAGTGTTAGCTTAAAAGCATCTAGATCCAGCCATACCTAAGGCCACCCACACCCATCTATGCAGCCTGCAAACCAGTAGATAACTTCCTTTTGCTTTAAAAGAAAAAAAAAAATCCTCCTGAAATAGTGGTTCTTCTCTCTGCTGCTGCTGCTCCTGGTGGTGGCATAAAATATGGAAAACAGTGACACCCAAGGACCAAGAAGGCTTTTGAAACTGCCTCTTATCCCACGGCACGCCTAGGGGAGGAGCTAGTTCCCCCAGTCCAGGCCTGGCTCTTCCGGACTCTCAGTGCCAGGCTTTGCTACAACAGCCCCTTGCATTCTCATGCCATCA